TTTTCCCGTTTTCGTTTCTGATATCTATCTCTCGGTTTGGATCGGTGTCGGAAACCCGCCACAACCAAGGGATCCAAAAATGGGTGCCACCGATGTCCCTCTATGAAATCCTGTTCATCATAATCGCACTCTGTGGTCCCGTCGGATTCAATCATCAAAAGGGCAGAGAGGTCGGACTTGGCATCATTCTCGTCGGGCCCGAGAGACCCCGCTGAGGTCGATGACAGAAGAGGCGGTTTGGAGATGACTACGGGTTCGGTCTCCTTGGTATCCCGTAATCGACGGCTATTCGGCAGGGAACTGTCCCAGTTCCACAGGCGTTCAGTCGGGTCGTCTACGATTTTCTGATTCTCCCCACTAGTCCACTCGGCTTCCTCGTCTGAGGAAGACGCCGGCGCGTCGACAGACTCGCGTGCCATTGCGTAAAGATAGGCTTCACCCATGTTCTTTGTGTAGGCTTCGCATAACTGCATCAGTGCTACATGATGCATTTGCGCCTGGTCATTCTCTGTCACGTTGCTTTGGGTGGCAACATGTTGTTTGAAACCCATGGAGAAGTGGCGTGCCTCGAGCCGCAGTTTCGCCAGTGGGTCCCTCGGCAGAGTCTTGAGTGGGAGGATCTTTCGTGGTGGTACATGCGTAGATTGCTGACCGCACGGCAATTTAATGCCGGGAGAATCCGGTAAGAATTTGAATTGTATGTCATCGTTGTTCGGGCGGGGACCCGGTTCCACGTAAAAGGCTCTTTCGACAGCCGGCGAAAACATTTCAAAGCCACGAAACTCTGAGGACAGAAAACTCGCGATTTCTATGTTTTTCTTCACTAAAGAATTGGATGTGTTTTTTTCCTCTTGATTGTTATTTAGGGTCAGGGTTTTCACGCCCTGCAAATTATCCACAGAATGTTGTCCTGCACTTTCACTGTCTGGGCCCTTCGACGGAAGGGGCTGCAATGCGCGAGAGCGTAGTGAGGGCTTTAGTTTTCGAATTACTTTGTCAAGCAGCATGTCAGCTTTCTTGCGTTCTAACATCTCATCTTCGGGGTCCCTTACCTCGCTGGT